ACATACATGCGATGGTACTTTGTCAGAAATTCATATGTTAAGATTTGACATAGCTCTATTTGCTCCCTTTTGCTCTGTGAAATATGTAATGGAACAGTTCATTTCATTCTCTCTGACAAGTGCCGGAAAAAAACAAAACCTGTTGATGTCAGAAAAAGAAATCTGTCCTCTGTTCTGTAAAAACTTCCTGTGTTGTCTAAATTAGCCAATTACATATCTGGTTAAAAAGTTGAGATGACAGGACACTTCTGATCCAGACAACCCTGGAGTGGAGCACAGGCAGTGAAAGGACAGAGTGGCATGGGTGACAGGAGCACAGTCTATTGAGGCACAGTTATACAGGAAGGCTTGACTATAAGATGCTCGTGCAGACCAACATGACAGTCATAGAGGAGAGTCAGCCTGTAAGGAAGTTCAGAGAGACGCTGGAGCACACAGCAGGTTGGAAGCATAGACTGTTCAAGTAGTGGTCATTAGCCAAGAAGACATACAGGGCATGTTCACACCAAATCCGGACCAGATCTGCATGAGTTTCTGCACATGCAGTGCAGTGTGTTCTGCTGCATTTTTGCCACTTTTTTTTTTTGTTTTAACCTAAAATGAGCTTTGTGTGTTTGAGGGCATTTGCATACGCTTGGTGCCTTCCAGAGCAGAAAAAAAGAAAAAATAGGGCTTGCTGCAGTTTTTCCACATGCTCTGGAACTGAACGCTGTGGTGTAACTAGAGCCCAAAATACCATTGGAATACATTGGATGCATTTTTGATACGTTCTGTAACTGCGCTGCATCTGCTCCGCACTTGGGTGTGAACTAGCCCAGAGGGTAGAAGGCAGAGCCATGGTCAGAAGGCAGGCTAAGTTCACATGGGGATTCAAGCAATAGTCAGAAACAAGTCTAGGTCAAACTGGGGAGTCAGCAGAGACACGCTGTGATCAGGATCTAGCCGAGGTCAAAACCAGGAAGGCAGAGCAAAGGAAAAAAGTCCAAGGGCAGGTTGGATCAGCATTGGAAAGCAGATAACAGCAGGATCAAGCCAAAATGCAACTCCGCTCTGTCCCCAAATAGGCCATTTGGCATGAAAGGCAGAGATTAGGTGTGCATGTCTGTGCACCTGCATTCCCACGCAGCATGCCGCGTGAATATGTGAATTGTTTGCGCCAATATATGTGCACACGCAATTAGTTGGCAATATGTTCTGCATGTTGGCATCTTCTGATTTTGTTCTGACAGCGTTCTCCCAGGGGGTTTCATTTTTCAGTTTTATATGCATCCACTTCTT